GTCTTTCTTTGGCCTGCGCTCTGGAAGTGATCTGTTAATTCTGCTGAACTTTAATGAAAACTGAAACTAAAACTGAAACTAAACTACATAAAAATTAAATAAAAATGCGTTCACAAAATAAAAACTAAACTAAAACTAACAAAAATATGAATGAAACTAATAAAAACTAAACTGAATTGTATGGCAAATTTGAAAACGATATTAAAATAAAACGAATTTAATAATTAATGAATGAATGAATTAATTAATTAAATTCATTAATGAGTTATTGTGCATTGTTACAGTAAGTAATAGCACTGCCAGCAACAATGGTAATAGCGTAATTGCATTACTAGATCACTGACAAGTTGCTAATCTTGTATGCACAAATACAGTATTTGGATGGGGATTTGTAAACCAGCAGTAATCTAGATTACGGCCTGTAATCTACACTGATAATGTGCTTTCATCACAACCAGGCAGTGGTTCCGCACAGGGCCGCATTAAGACCTCACTGGGCCCCGGGGCTATGACTTACTGCAGGGCCCTCCATCATAATAATGATATATACAGCTTAAAATAGGATTTTTATCCAATCAAAATTTTGGATGCATTGCAATTTCATAATTCTTGTTCCCTTTCAGTCGGTCACTACGAGTCACGTCGTGACCGACAAATTGGGATATCGCTTCGATAGACCAATCTACTTTGAGTGTAAACTAAACGAGCCAATGCACATTGGCATGCAGTGCGCCTTGCCTTGAACCGTCTCAAAGGGCACTTACGAGGCAGCACGTACCGGTCCGAACGGACAACACAGCGACCGTTGCATACACCAACCGACAGGGTGGTCTGCGCTCCCGTCACATGTCGCAACTCGCCCACCACCTCCTCCTTTGGAGTCGGAAGGTTCTGAGGTCACTTCGTGCTGTTCACATTCCGGGCCTGCTCAACCGTACAGCCGACGAGCTGTCTCGAGCAATCCTCCCGCCTGCAAGCGCTGCCCCCGGAGGAGGCAGACCCAGCCCTGGCTTTGTTCTGTCCCGTCCGAGTATTAAGGTGCTACGTAGACCGGACACAAAGCTTCAGGACCTCAGACCAGCTCTTTGTCTGTTACGGAGGCCGGCAGAAGGGGAATGCCGTCTCTAAGCAGAGGATGGCCCACTGGATTGTCTATCGAAGCGATATCCCAATTTGTCGGTCACGACGTGACGTCTCCGTTCCCTCCTTCAGGGAACGAGGGTTACCATACGTAACCGAGACGTTACCAATTCCAATATAACAAAATAAGAAAAATACTAGCCTACATAAAAACAAACTTACTGAAGACAAGTAAACAGTCATGATTTACAATAGAACAAAGAAATTGACCTACAAACTCTTAAAGCACTGAATAAGAAATATTATATTGTATAAAATAAATAGACTACAAATAGACTGAATAGTCTTCACTGTATAAATTCAATATACATTATTTTACAAAAGCGATTCGGTCAAGACAGTGAGTGATTTTCTTTCTAATGTTTAATTTACATTATTGACACAAATAGCAACAGCAGCTATATTAGGCTGCTTTGGAGGAATAGGTCACCCAAAAATGTAAGTTATGTTGTTGTTGTTCAAAACCTGTATGAGTTTCCTTCTGTTGTTGAATGTAGATGTATATATTTGGAACAATACTGGTAACCAAACAGTGTCTGTGCCCCCATGACTTCCATAGTATGGATAAAAAAACACTATTGGAGTCAACAGGGACCAGAAACTTTCTGGTGGTTACGAATATTCTTCAAAATATCTTCTTTTATGTTGAGGAGAACAAAGAAATTGATACAGGTTCAGAACAACTTGAAACTGAGTAAATGATGACAGTATTTTATTTTTTGGGTGAACTATATCCCTTTAAAATCTCATCATATAATGCCAGGATAAAGCACATGCTTTATCTTTAACTATTAACGTTAATTTAAGACACAAATGACTATGTTGACGAGGAGACAGCCATTTTGACACAGAACTATTCGAACGTTTAAACACAAGGCGCGAAAAATAACTCTTTAGTTTAGTCAGGCGCTGTATGAGCAAGTGCGCTCCGCGCGTATCAGAAACTAACGCGCGCATTTGCCAAAATGAATTCTGCCAATGCTTAATGTCCCTGAACAGTTAAATTAGTTTTAAAACCACAGCGCTTAAAATGTGTTTAAATGACAAGCTTAGCCTACATCATGACGCGCAAAATTAATTTCTCAACCCATAAGCGAATATAGGCCTATAGAGTTATTTCAAACACAAAAAGCAATATACATATATCAAGTTAATAATCAAACTAACCTAAAATCTGTGGGGATTGGGACGCTGTGTTTTTATCTTCTCCATGTGTCCGGTCTATTTGCGGTTCCACAACTCCCACTCCATCATCAGCTTTAGTAAAATAAACTAGCTGTGGATTTTAGTGACTAACTCATGTTTTCCCCTCTCTCCTCATTTTTTTCTCTCACTATTTTTTTTTAGAATAGTTGACATTTTTACTTATCGAAGATTGTTCTTTGCATGACCGTTTCTAGATTAGACCAGAATTAACTGAAGAGAGGTGAATGCAGACATTAGGCGCAGCAATCACCTGATAGATATGCTACGTGCACAGTTCATTCAAAAGTAAAATATATAATAAATGCATTTGATTGGTAAACCAAATTCAAATGTGACTTTTTAATCTCGAATGCTAATGCATGGAATTTACGGAAAAACTCCAATAAATAATAGCGCTAAAAAGTGATGGTCGTAGTGAGGCTTTGGCGATCGGCGCTACCGATGTCCGTCAATCTACTCCACAGCCAATCATGGGCCCCCTCCTTGCTCGGGCCCCGGGGCTTCAGCCCCGCCTAGCCCAATGGTTAATGCGGCCCTGGTTCCGCACTTCCATAGCAGCATAAAGAAAACCTAGCATGTGAAAGTGAAGAAATGGTGCAGATAACGCAGACTTTACGCTCTTTACCACTGCAGGCCAGAGATGCCCTTGCTGGGAGTCATTTAATCAGCTCATCAGTCATTCATGATGAATGGAACATTGGCCCTTCTCCGCTTCCCAGTTCACACATTAACCATCTGCTAATCAGTTCATCCAGGGAAACATGACCGCAATGTATACGCTCCTCCTGAACGTACTCTTCCAGCACAGCCATCATCAGTCATTATCAGTATGTGGGCTGTGTTTGTTTGCATGTGCAATCTGGTTAAGATAGTTAAGAAGCCCAGTGGAAACATCCTATGCAGCATTCAGAGCGCAACACATGCTGCAGCTCTGCTAGTAAACATTAACTGTCAATTAACTGAACGAGTGAACAAAATATGGAAGGAACTTTATCCTTGTGCATAAACCGGAGAAGCTGTGTTAAGCCTCTCTGGTAGTCTTTGATGTTAGTCAATATTTCCTATAGATCTGAGCTGGACGTAGTATTAGCACACAACACTATTCCAGTGAAGAAAAAAAAAAAAACACTAGAAAAACTGATTTATTTATTTTTGTCTCGCAATTCATATTCTTTAAACTGTGTAATTTGATGGACTGCTTCAAATCTAACAACACACACATGCACACACGTTGGATTCCATGTTCCATGAGAGTCGCCGTAGGTTTTTATACTGTACAAAACTGTATTTTCTATCCCCTTACCCTAACCCTACACCTAAACCTAACCCTCACCAAAACCTTTCTGCATTTTTAGATTTTCAAAAAACTTAATTCTGTATGATTTATAACAAGGGTCTTTGCAAAAATATGGTATGTCAAAATAGATACACGCAATGTAAATGCAGACTAATACTAGAAAAACTATTTGCATCAATGTATATTTTAAATTCCATTCCAATTATTTGTAAAAGTAATGCCTTGTAAACAATCTTAAATGTCTCACAGTACATCTCTATTCTTGCTATGGTTGAGCCATTGCTTACACATTACATCAGCACTCTATTAGAAAACCCTAACTAATTTCAGATCTTCAGTGATTTGATTATTATCTGTCCATCTGACAGTAAAATTTAAATGTTTAATTTTAGTAAACCTAAAGCTACAGTTATAGCAAATGTTATGTGTCCATCTCACAGTAAAATATATATTTTTAATAAACTTGTAGGTAAAGTTCAGGTGAATGCAAATGTATGATGCCACTATAATGATTCCCCTTCTCACGCTGCATCAGAAAACGCTTTGGGAATGCCCCTGTGTGCCCACGCTCTGAATCGCATGTGATATCAGTCCAACGGAATGGCGAAATGTCAGTCGGGGTGACGTAAAGACCAGAGAGCTTAAAAGTGAATCCGAAACAAGCAACGTTAGCTTCTGTATTTTCAGCCAGTGCTCTGTGTAGCCCGTGTGTTCTTCTCTGCCTGCGCTAAACTTTACGGGTGTGAATGCACACGGTCGTTGTGTTGTTTGTTTGGGAATGGAGCACGCACAGTCTGCCCTCGAGGAAGCTGGTTGTGCATCGTGCTCCCGCCGGGTACACTTTGAGTAGTGTGTCTGTGTTTGCGGTCTTTGCGGTTCCTGTCCCGCTGTTGCTGAGGCATGGCGGCGATTGGGATCGCGGGGATCGCATTTGAATCTAGTGCTCTCTCTCGAGGTTGGGAAGCCCACGCTGTGGTCTCTTCCCCCTTCGAGTGAGTCTATGCTGCAGCTATCTTCCTCCAAGGAGGTTGATGTTGTTAGCATTATTGTGATGAGATTGAGGACTCGCCATCTCAATCTTTTGCATATGAAAAGCATACTGCATTTTAGATCGCTCCCTGCCCTCGCTATAGTAAGGAGTGGGGATGCACACGATTTATGTGTGGTTTGTTTTGGAGAGGAGCACGCACAGTCAGCTCTCGAGGGGGCTAGCTTTGTTCATTCATAAATTAACCCTAAATGTGCAAGTGAAAATGCATTACCTTAGATGTTTAGCTCTTCTCTCGCTGGCGTTTCTTCTCGAGGGAAAAAAGTTGTATGCAATGTAATTGAGTGGCTCGCGCATTGCCGAGGCAACGTGTGCATTACCCCGCAGCAAAATAATGCTGCGGGAAACTGAGCAGACGGGAGGTTTCTTTTTGTCTCTCTTTCCCCCAAATGTGTCCAAATGTATGAATTTGTTTGCAGGCTGTTATTCATGATTCTTTTATATTGCATCTTATATTATAAGCAGACCATGCATGTAAATGATGTATATCCTTCTTGTTTTTTAGAAGTTATATATGTGTAAGTGACAGCACAGTGTTTACCTCTCTTCCTCCGAGGAGGCTGATGTGGTCAGCATGTCATTACTACACTTTTGAGGAGTTGATGGAGATTGTAACTAAAAGCGTGCCATAGCATTCTATCACAACCTCCATGTCGGGACCAACCGGTTCTCCCTGTCTCCACACCGAGGTGTTGAGAGCATGGGTTTAACCATTTTTCATTCCAGCTCTTCCGCCCTTATTTGCGAATTTTTCAATTTAGGGGGTTGAATGAGTAGGTTATAGGGTGATGTTTTAAGTGGGACTGACGCTTGCGAGCTATTGTTCCCAGTGCAGCTTCACCCCTTAGGCCCCGACATTTTCCAATGTTGGACACAGGTCTCAGGGGCTGTTGGGTGAGAGCAGCCCCAGCCGTATTCCAGCTCCTCATTCCAGGAGTGTCGCTTCTCGTACTTCCCCAGAAAATATTTGGAGTCAGAGCGGCGCTCCCAGCCGAAGGCTTCTAAGCAGGAGGCGGATCTGTGGACCATCATTCTCGCTAGAAAGTCTTCGACTAAAAGGTCCTGATGCCTATGGCCCAGGACTTCTGAGGGCGGGCCCATCTGGGGAAAAGCAGTGTACACCTCATCATACGGTGCCCGTCTCTGGTCAGTGATCTTAGGATATCAGTCTGTCAACCCTGCCACCCTCGGTGCTTCAGGGCACAGCGGTCTCCAGCGAGCACATCTCTCAGCATCTGCCCGGAAACGTAGCGGTCCTGAGAGGCTCGCTACCTCCAAGTAGGTCTTTAGAGCAGCTAGATCGGCCGTCTCCTGCCGGTCCTCCGCTTCAGGGCACCGAGCTAGCTGCTCTAAATACACCAGAGGCCACTGGTTCCCATAGTAGATCATCTGGCAGCGTGGAAGCTTCTGTCAAATGTGTTTCATTGGGTCCTGCATACTGTAGAAAGATTCAGTTCGGGTCTCGTTCGCCTCTATTCAACGGGGTGTTTCCCACTCTGGTGGGCCCCGAGCAGGCTCTGGTCATGGAACAAGAAGTAGACACTTTCTTGAGGAAGGAGGCCATCGAGGTGGTCCCTCCTCTCGACAGAGTCCGGGTTCTACAACCGGTACTTCATCGTTCCGAAGAAGGATGGGGGGTTACGTCCGATTCTAGATCTACATTTGTTGACTCCAGGTCATGTGGCACATAATTTGCCTGGAGATGCTGGCCATGTTTCAGGCTCTGAAACACTTTCTCCCAGACCTAAGAGTTGTGCTCTCTCACCCCGCACTTTCACCAAGTGTGTGGATGCTGCTCTGGCTCCTCTACGATTCCAGGGTGTCTGCATACTCAACTACATCGACAATTGGTTGATACTAGCTCTTCAGAGCATATGGCGGTTCAACATTGTGATGTCGTCCTCGCCCATATGAAAGAGCTGGGGTTAAGGCTAAGCGCCAGGGAAAGTGTGCTTTCTCCACTACAGAGAACCACTTATCTGGGTGTGGTGTGGGATTCAACCACGACGCAGGCGCGTCTGTCTCCTGCTCAGATCGAGTCGATCCTCACAGCCGTGAAGAGAGTGAGAGAATGCTAGTCACTCACTGTCAGACAGTTTCAGAGACTGTTGGGTCTGATGGCAGCTGCGTCCAACGTGATACCTTTTGGCCTGCTGTACATGAGACCCTTGCAGTGGTGGCTCGGGACCAGAGGGTTCTCCCCCAGGGGCAACCTGCTTCGCATGATCAAGGTCACGCGGCGATGCTTACGTGCCTTAGACATGTGGATAAAACCGTGGTTCCTGTCACAAGGCCCAGTGCTGGGGGCTCCTTGTTGTCATATACGCTAAATACGGATGCCTCCCTCATGGCAGAGATGTTCACAAGTCTTTAACTTGGAGTCTGAGTCAAGTCTGAAGTCGAGGAAACTCCTTGAAGTGGATTGTGTTCATTTCATGGTGTGGAAATCTTCAGATGGTTCCAGTTAACGTCACGGTTGGTTCCGTTCTGGAGTTCCTGCAAGAACGATTCTTTGTAGGTTTGACCCCCTCCACCTTGTGGTGGCCATAGCAGCTTACCACGTCCCTTTGGGTCATTGGGGGGCGAAACCCGTTGGTACACGTTTCTTTCATTTTTTGAGGCCAGGAGAAGTATGGTACAATACAAAGTGTAAGGCCTCTGCGAATATCGCACAAATGAACGATTGAATCTCCGCATTCCACCGGAAAAACTAAAGACTCTCCTCCCCAGCTATCTGCGGTCGTAAAGAAGATCAATGATCAACAGGGCACCTAATTGTCTGGACCTGCTTCCGGTCAAGGCCTGGTCCTTATCCCTTAGGGGGATCTGAACTGCTTAAACCCTAACTATCACCAGGAGAGAAGAAATTCCCTCTGTCTGACACCGTGGGACGGATTTATGCCGCGGATCAAAAACCCAATGCAAGACAGACTCGAGTGCTTGCTTGCTTGCTTCTTCGCTTTTCGCCGTGTTACGAGCATTCCAACTTGTGCTCACACGCTTACCATCAAAATTGATAAGGTGTAAACTATTAACATTTGAAATCAGTTCTAATCAGGTTGACTTCGAATTTTCAGATTCGAGTCCTCTCAAAACCTGAATGAATTAATAATAATTAATTCCCTAAGAAAAGTAATTAGACATTACAAAAGAGTAAAAATGACAGTTATTTATGTCTGTTACGACTCATTATGCTAGCATTCTGCCCAAAATATTGCGGTAAGATCAAATTTATTTCAATTAATTATATCTTAGCATTTATTTGCATTTATCAGCATTTATTTATTAATTATTTTTAATTAATTACAGAGAGAGAGAGAGAGAGAGAGAGAGGAAAGTTGTGTGTGTGTGTGTGTGTGTGTGTGTAAATTACAAATTACTTCAAAAACAATAATTTTACCCCTTGTTGCTGAGAAATATAATGTAGAGATTCAGTATCAAACCTGTTTTATTAACACAATTGCAGTGCTGTGTGCATATAGAACGGTGATTAAACTGACTTGGAGCTACCTGTGCATTAAACAGTTTTAATGCATACCTGCCAGCCAATCAGAATTGAGTATTCAGACAGACCATGGCATAAATTTTAATATTCATATACCAAGTGCATAGTCTTTACACAGTGGAGGTTATATAACAGGCTATTCATGCGATCAGTGCAGGTGCTGCAGGTGTGCTCAATTATTTTGGAGCAACCAGGACATCTGGGTCCAGTCAAATATCTGCATATGCTAGTTTTAGTTGGAACATTTTAATTTCAATAATTCAGTCCCTGCGTTACTAATAATTGACCTCATTTTGGGGAAAACACACTCTTGTTAATGGTGGGTTCATGAAAAATATACAATAAAATCCATATTACCTGGAGTAAAAGTGGCTCTACAAATAAATGTGTCCTTTTCTCCACTGAAAATAGCTTTTAGGTGGTACAATCACGCAGCTATTGAACACAAGGGGGTACGAGACGGGCAGGTTGCACCAACCATCTGTCCCACTGTTTGAATAACAAGCACATCCACCTTTTTCATCCAAAGGCACAATTTACATGCCTGCTTTTAAAGCACACGTTCTGATCTAATTAAGGTATCAGGGAAGCTCTGGACTTTGCTTTTGTCTGTCTGTGAAGTGGATAATTGCTGTGTTGCTTTAAAAGCATCTGCTGGGGGCCCAGTGAAAATAAAACCCTGAATTTAACGACGCTGGTTTAATATTCATTAAGAAAGCAATTAGCAGATTGCTAAGAGTAAAACTGTCCTGCCATTATATTAGCAGAACACCCATCCGTCACTGTGTTGGGTGGTAACTAATTAAAAGTAGCAAAGCTACTTACTTCACTTCATTTTCAGTTGCATAAAAGTGCTCAGCTGTTTATAAAGTAGTAGTTTCAGTCTTGCCAGTAACTTTTTTTTCGCCCACCCACCCACCAAACAAGCAGCAATTTAGAATTAGTTGTTTAGTTATAATATTTACAGGCAGTGTTATTTTGTTGTTATTTATATATGATATCATATTTTTATTTTACTTTAAGTTTTAGTAATTTGGTTATGTGCTTTTCTCATTTTTTAATAATATAATATAATATAATATAATATAATATAATAATTTATGCATAATTTCATATAAATTATTATTATTTTTTATTTTAAATTTAGCTTAAACTTAAATTTATTTATATCAGTTATTTGCCTAGGTATTTCTAAATTTATTTAGAAGAGATAATTGTGTTAATTGTATTTATGTATGTACAGTGGGTACGGAAAGTATTCAGACCCCCTTAAATTTTTCACTCTTTGTTATATTGCAGCCATTTGCTAAAATCATTTAAGTTAATTTTTTTTCCTCATTAATGTACACACAGCACCCCATATTGACAGAAAAACACAGAATTGTTGACTTCCAACAAGACAATGACCCTAAGCACACAGCTAAAATAACGAAGGAGTGGCTTCACAACGACTCTGTGACTGTTCTTGAATGGCCCAGCCAGATCCCTGACTTAAACCCAATTGAGCATCTCTGGAGAGACCTAAAAATGGCTGTCCACCAACGTTTACCATCCCACCTGACAGAACTGGAGAGGATCTGCAAGGAGGAATGGCAGAGGATCGCCAAATCCAGGTGTGAAAAACTTGTTGCGTCTTTCCCAAAAAGACTCATGGCTGTATTAGATCAAGAGGGTGCTTCTACTAAATACTGAGCATTTTTCAGTTTTTCTTTTTTAATAAATTTGCAAAAATGTCAACAATTCTGTGTTTTTCTGTCAATATGGGGTGCTGTACATACATTAATGAGGAAAAAAAATTAACTTAAATGATTTTAGCAAATGGCTGCAATATAACAAAGAGTGAAAAATTTAAGGGGGTCTGAATACTTTCCGTACCCACTGTATGTATGTATGGATGGATGGATGCATGTATGTATGTATGCATGTATTTATTTATTTATTTTTGATTAAAAATATCACACAATTTTGTCACTTATTTCATTCAAAACACCCATGTAGTTGATGTAGCAATGTATTTAAAATCATTTTGCTTCTTTGTCTAATTTACCAGATCACAAAAATAAATAAAAAAAATACTGAAAATCTATCATCCATCCATCCAGTGGTGTAGAAATAACCAATATTGCACATGAACATACCCATAACACGTATGCAGCTATGACCCGCACCACTTGTGCATTTTAACACGTCATTCACTGTATCCGCCCGTCACACTGTATATAGTCCTATCCGGACATGTTTTTCCTCAGGACTTTGGTAGTGTTTTGCAGAAAATCCCATTTAATCCAGTCAGAAGTTAACATGTCTGGCTAATTCTTCTCTTTCACTTTTAATATATTTCCACCTTCCTCAAGTGTGTAACTAAAGCAATATTTAGCATTTCACTACCTGATGCACCTTCATTAGATAATTTAACTTGTTAAAATAATTGGTGGATCTAGTTCTGCTGGCATCTCATTAATAATTGTAAATTAATCCTATCCAAAGTTTGAAAAATTAATCTTATCTGAAGAGTGCTTTCAGTAGAATTTACAAGATGGAATGGAAACAGAAAAAACATTTTTTTGGCTGTTAAACAACAAAGTGCTCAGCCTCTGGTTTATGAGGCGCTGCCTTTAACCACTTTTACCATGCGCTACCAGGATAAACTTATTTTCTGCAGCCGTACACAAGGCTTTCTTAAGGATCTTTATTTAAGGAACACAGCTGTGTGCTCTTTTCTTCCTCAAAATACACTCAGAGAATAAAAGTATCAACCTCACAAGATGAGCTTTAAAGACAAAGCCAGGCACATGCTGCTGCTCAGAGCATTATTTTGCCACAATGAAAAATTGCAACTGAACTTAATTTGCACTTGCTGATAGATGTGAACGCTTTCTTCCCAAAAGACACCTCTATGAGCAAAGCCACTTAATCAGTCCTTTCTAGCAGACGCTTTTCAATGACAATTAAGGCACATTTTCATTATTATTCCAACAGGTTTAATTAATCTCCTGTATGCATTAGTTTATGGCTGTACTAGCAGAAAATGTTGCATTTTATTGAAAGATAACATTGAATGTGACTTGCATTACCTAAATAAGAGCCTACTTAAATGTGAATTCAGTATGTTTTTGTTCACATTTTGCAAAGCTTCTTCGTTCAAACACGCCTGGATGTTATACTGACACTTACTGGCCTGGATGAATATCTAATGAATTTCTATCTAATCAAAAATATCTATCATCCATCCATCCATCAACTATCTGTCTGTCCGTTCTTCCATCCGTCCATCCACCCGTCCATCATCTATATGTCCATCTGTTCATCCATCCATCCACCCGTCCATCATCTATATGTCCACCTGTTCATCCATCCATCTGTCCACCCGTCCATCATCTGTATGTCCGTCTGTCCATCCATCCATTCTTCCACCTATCTATGTAATCAAAATATCCATCCATCCATCTATCATCTATATGTCCATCCATCCATCTTGTCCATCCATCTTCTATCTGTCCATCCATCCATCCATCCATCCATCTATCATCTGTGTCCATCCATCATCTATCTGTCCATCCATCCATCCATCCATCTATCTGTCTGTATGTCTGCCCATTTATCATCTGTGTCCATCCATCATTTATCTGTCCATTTGTCCATCCATCATCTATCCTTCCTTCTTTCATTCCTTCCATCCATCATCTATCTATCTATCTATCCATCCATCCATCCATCCATCCATCCATCCATGTCTGTCTGTCTATATGTCTGTCTGTCTGTCCATCCATCTATTCTTCCACCTATCTATGTAATCAAAATATCCATCCATCTTGTCCATCCACCCATCATCTACACTTCCTTCCATCTGTTTGTCCATCCATCCATCCATCGATAATTCCCTCCCTCCATCCATCCTTCCATCTGTATGCAGTATGTCCGTCCATCCATTCAACTTCAAGAATTTTTTTTTAACATTCTACTTTCAATTCATACTCAGTTGCAGGAACTGACTTTAAATTTTAAAGGCATTAATTTACTTCAGTGAATGATGCACAACCTTGGTAAACACTTTTAACCCTGGTAATGCATTTAACACATTATTAAAGTGAAGTTTACCTTACAGTGTATTACAAGAAATCATATCCCGGGCTCTGTGTTGCCTATTCATCATATTCATGCTTGCATATCTACAGTAAAGTCATATAGACAGCGTTTTATTTAGGGGATAAAAATGCCTAAAGAAATGTGTTCTGGTTCAGAGAGTTCTTGTCCCTCCAGCTGTCCTCTAGTGTGAAAAGAAACAGGAACCTATTTTGATATGTCTGTCTCTGTTTGTCTGTTCTTTTGGAGAGGCTGTTCGAGGTGATACTCTGAGCTGTCAGTGGTACATTGACTTCCTGTGGCATCCTGTCAGAAGGAAGTGTGGCCAATATTATCACTGATAATAGAGCACAAGTACCTGTTTTAGAATCAATCACTGTGCTTTAATGTGCATGAGATTTGGCAAGCTGGACTTCTCCTTGGGATGACCCAGTTTCTTAGAGTTTTACACTAATTCACTCTTAAAGGTACAGTTCACCCAAAAACGAAAATTCTGTTATCATTTACTCACATTTATTTAAATTATGATTACCCTGCAGATGATTTGTAAATTAATATGTTGTGATGTTCGCACCACATAACCAGCTCCATATGTATGGCCTTTCTGATGTAGTAAACTTGCTTGGTAGCTCACCTTGTGCAGCATTGCACTTGAGATGCACAGCGCTCGGGTATGAGTTCTGTGAAACACGAGTCAATATATAAGAGCTCAAAGACTTGTAGAGGCATTCTAAAATGTCATGGCTGCTTCAGCAAATGTGTTTCATCTAACATTTGCTGTTGCTAACACTATTGGCTAAGTTTAGGTAGGATTTAGTGTAGGTTATTTTCAAATGCAATGGAGCATTATTTTTTTTCCTCCACTCACCAGACGTTTCATTTTCTAACTGCTTTGTTATGTACAACAACCAGCTTTATAAAATGTCAATAAAACTAAACATTGTTTTAGCACCACTCACTGGACATTTTACTATTAAAGTGTCATGAAACGTGCAAAAAACTATCTAATATTATGTGCCGAAAATTTTGATTTTATTTTATTTATTTTATTTACCCCCCCCCCACGTGTATTTTGCCCACGGTTGTGAGGTTGTGAGATGGATACTAATTCACAGTTGTCCCCAGCACCAAGACTTAAACATAGTCTGTGAATGAGTAGATATCACAATGTGTGTGGATTGTAACCACTAGCAAAGACAAATTAGCCTGGTTTGTGCCCACCTCTCCCAGCACAGATTTTGTTTTTGCTCGTTCATGTCAAAAATAATCATCTGTTAGTGTGACCATAGAGTCATCCTCTCTGATATTTCTGTCTTCTTTCATGAATAGGAATTCTGAGGCTCAAAAGAACATTGTGCACAAACACTTTGAATTATGGATATCCCACAGCTTTAGAAAGTGCTCTGGGAATGCAGAAGCGGAAGTTTCTCCAGTCTTTTTTTTTTTTTGTCATTCTGAAACC